AGCTGAGTGCTTTGGGGACAGGAAGATTTCCTGTGGAGTGGGTTGCTATTGGCATTAATTGGCAGAAGCAGAGAGACCAAGGAAATGGAAGCAGAGCTGCCTCAGCCTGAAAGGTTAGGACCATGGCCTTTGGGGGTGGAACGACCACAGCCCCCTAGGTTTCAAAGAGCTAGGTCTTCACCAACTTGGTTCTGGAGTGTGGGGCTGCCTGTTCATGTGAGCCAGTCGGATGGAGCCATAGCCACTGCCCAAAAGTGAGGGGGCGGGGCTTCCATGCCTGAGAGGGAGAAGAATGGCGCCCACTAGGCTAAGGGGGTGAGGTCGCCACTTAGAGAAACTAGGGGACTGGAGCCACCCAATGAGAGAGATCTGTACAGATTCCAGCCAATGAAGATCTGTACAGGCGCCAAGTTGACAAGGGGAGGAATCGTGGTAGTTCATTTGTGTGTCAACTTGGCTGGGCCTGGTTAAGTGGCTGGTCAGCTGGATGTAGTCTTCCCCATGATGAGACTGGTAATCAACTCCATGGTGGAATCTACTGGGAGCAGCTGAGTAGCTGCCTTAGGGAATGTGGTCTATTTCCTGTATATAAGCAGAAGCCTTTGGGAATGGTCTCTAGCTTATGGCACGCTTGGACCCTGCATGTAGCTGTGTCATTGTTCAGCAGCCTGCCATGCTCTGCCAACCTTGGGACTTACAGTGGACTTAAAATAATGGTTTGCTGTGTGGTTTGGTAACACCAGGACTGTGCCTTTTTACTTGTCAAACTTCGGTTTGTCAGCCTCAGCAGCCAGCAGCTGTCTAGCTTCAGTGGGCCGGAGCTGGAGGCAGAGCTGAATCCCAAGGCTGAAGGACTTTCACCTAGCCCTAGCGCCTGGCACTATGAACTTGGACTTAAAGCCTCCAAATTGTAAGAATAAACTCCTGTTTGTTTAAGCCATCCCATATGTGGTATATTCTTCTCACAGCGGCACTAGGTAACCAGAACAGGCTTCTTCCTCATAACATGCATTAACTCAAAATGGATCATAGACCTAAATATAAGGACTAAAATATAAACCTCTTAGAAGAGAATATAGGAGTGAATCCTGATGACCTTATGATAAGCAAAGTCTTCTTAGATATAATACCCATAACACAACAATAAAAGAATAAAAAAATAAATTGGACTTCATCAAAATTAAAATTAAAACCTTTTGTTTTCAATGGACATCATCAAGAAAATGAAAAGACAGTTCATAGACTGGGGGAAAATACTTATAAATCATATATCTGATTTAATATATGATTTATCTGATGTTGATGTTGTAGTTGTTATGTGCCGTCGAGTCAGACCCGACTCATAGCGACCCCTCCTTGGGTTGCCGAGGCAGTATCACTACGGAAGTAGATTGCCCAACCTTCCTTCCGAGGAGTGGCTGGTGGGTTTGAACCGCCAGCCTTCTGGTGAGCAGTCAAGTGCCTTAGGCACTATCTTGAAATTTGAGATATATTTTGTTATTAGATTCTTATAGATATATGGTTTCTGAAGATATTCTCACAGTTGGTAGCTTGTCTTTTCAATTTTTTGGTAACATCTTTTGATTAACAGAAGTTTTTATTCTTAATTTTGTATTCTGCTGTTTGTACTTTTGGTATTAGATAATCCCATTGTTGAAAGCTAAGCGTGATCTACATAACGTTTTTGATCTAATAGAAGAATTAAAGCTTACTGATTACCTATTTTATATTAGACACTTTGGTATGAGCTTTATATATGTTTTCCCATTTAATCTTCAAGTAACTGTGTGAAGTGAGGAGTAGTATATCCATCATTTTTTAATTAACAGATTGTATTATAATGTTTATATATTTCTCCAAGCAATTATGATATGTTTTGATCCTCTGAGTCTGTTTTAGTTTCTGACATATAATGAGGCTCAATAGATGTTAACTATTGTAATGAATGTTTAGCAGCTGTATCCCTGGCCTTACCATTTAGTCTTTTTTGCTACCTTTGGTTCCTGAACCATGGTTTACAGATCTCTGAGTTAGGGAGTTGGTAGAAAGTATGCTGATTCTAGTGTATGCCCTGAAAGGTACTATTTAGACCTCATCTTTGACTTTAATTTTTTTCTATCTTTGTTAGCAATCTCTGCCCAAAGTGTTGTGCAAAGAGGAAATTCTAGGTGGATATTTATTAATTTTATTAATTGATACTATTCCTACCATGGAAATTAATGCTTGTTTTCAGAGGCTACTATTGTATTTTATGTATTTATTTGCAATTTAGTTCTTATTTCTGGTTATTGGAATATGTTCAAAAAGGTACATGTGAACCACTCTGTACCTTTTTTGGTAGGCACTGCTCAGTTTATCTTACTATTTTATGGTAAGTATATAAACAATTGGGAAATTGTGCTTAATAACCGCAATCTAGAGACTGCCTAAATGCCCATAAACCATTCCAGATTTCATTCATCCACCCTGTGGTAGTTAAGGTTATGTGTCAGCTTGGCTGGGCCTGGTTGAGTGGCTAGGCAGCTGGATGTAGTTGTTCCCCATGATGAGATTGGCAATCAGCTCCATGGTGGAATCTACTGGAGCAGCTAAGTAACTGCTTTAGGGATGTGATCTTCTGCTAATATATAAGAAGCAGCTTTGAGGAAAGTCTCCAGCTTTTTGGTACACTTGGGACCCTACATGTAACTAAGTCTTCCTTCAGTCGCCTGCCATGCTCTGCCAATCTTGGGACTTTTGATGGACTTGAATCAGTGGGCTATCATGTTATTTGGTAATATCGGGACTGTGCCATTTGTCAGCCATGGGCTTGTCAGCCTCAGCAGTCAGCAGCTGGCTAAGTGAAGAAAAGCTAGCTTCAGTGGGCTGGGAGCAAGAGCCGAGATGAAGACCAAAATTGAGGAGCTTTCACTTAGCTCCTAGAGCCTGACACTTTGAACTCGGACTTCTAGCCTCCAAAATTGTAAGAGAATAAATCTCTGTTTGTTCGAGCCACATCATTTGTGGTATATCCTGTCAGAGCAGCAGTAGGTAACTAAAACACACACCCTCTCAGAATTTCTGTAAACCGAAAACCAAACTCACTGCCTTCGAGTCAGATCTGACTCATAGCGACCCCTCCTTGGGTTTCCAAGGCAGTATCATTACGAAGTGGATTGCTCAACCTTCCTTCTGAGGAGTGGCTGGTGGGTTTGAACCGCCAGCCTTCTGGTTAGCAATCAAATGCCTTAGGCACCTTGCCACCAGAGCTCCTTGGAATTTCTGTAGCACTTACCAAAAATTTATTCATTTTTACCTAGTTTGTTTTTGCCTTTATATTTTGCCACAAATACCCAAATGTATTCTGTACCCTTAAAAGTCCTCTACTTTAGAAAGAGAAAAAATGAGTCCATGATTTTATAAAATGTGAAAACCCTCACTTTAGCATATTTGGAGTAAGAAATTTAAAATGGAAGAATATTAGATAGTTTAAAACTCACACAATTTTTTTATATACCTAAGCTAAAACAAGTGTAAAGTTCTGGAATATTCAGTAGGGAGAGCAAGCTCTTTGCCTAAAAAATAAAGAGATTCCTGCTTTGCAGTTCTTATCGTCTACTACTGAAGTAGTAGTAGTACTACTACTAGTAGTACTACTACTACGATGACGACGACCATGATAAGTACAGTGAAACCTGCGGGAGCTGGAACTCAGTGGGACTGCCTTGTTTTTCTGGGTCTCACAAGTTTTCTTTTTTTTTCCCAAACCTTTGCCAGGGTGCAGTATTATCACTTTTCTATTGCTTATTTTAGTGGAACGTATTTGAGGTTTCCTTCTCTTACAGGTTTCCACCTTACATAGGTTCTGGCTTTTCACAACATTTACTATAAATAGCAGTGGACCCTTTAAAGAAGACATTTCTAGCCTAGAAGAAGCAGCCCTGTGGCACACTGGTTAAGTGCCCAACTGCTAACTGAAAGGTTGGCAGTTCAAACCTTCCTGGTGGCCCTGTGGGAAAAAACACTTAGAAATCTGTTCCCATAAAGATTGTAGCCTAGGAAACCCCATGGAGAATTTCTACTTCACATGGAGTCATTATGAGTGGGGTCATTATGAGTCAGAATCAACTCATAGGCACCTAACAGCAATAACAACAGCCTAGCAGAAGGAGTCCTGGTAGCACAATGAAGATAGGCGGTTTGAACTCCCTCAGTGGCTCCATGGGAGAAAAGACCAGATCATCTACCCCATAAAGATTACCGCCTAGGAAACCCTGTCCCATAGGGTCACTATTAGCCAAAATTGACACAAGAGTACCTAATAACAACAAGCCTAGCAGAAAGGAGTAAGAGTAATAATAACGTGAAATATGAGGATTTCAAAAATAATTGAGTTAAATAAGATCTTTTTAATTCCTTGTGAGAAAATGTTGATTCTTGGAATTACACTAAAGTCATAGTGCATTCATTAATCTTAGCTTTTCTAAATGTGCCCCTAAACTACCTCTTTGATTATGGGATATCTTATTTTCAAAGTTTTTATATTTTTATGTATATTTTGAAAATATACGTACCTGTGACACACTGGAAACAGCTTTCTGGCATTTCATAATTCGTTAGAATTATGATTTTTAGCTCAACATTTTTAGTTCAAAGTTAGGTGTACCTCACTTTGCTTGTGTGTGTGTGCAAAATTTATGATTTGAGTTTTAGAAAATGAAATTTTTTAATTGTTTTATATTATGTTTTCATTATAGCTCAGCTTTTTGTTTCATGCCCTTTTCCTAACTTTGCTAGTAGAATAATGATTTAAAAAAAAAAAGAAAAAATAATCTTCTGGAAGAACTACTTCAACATCTTTAGTGGTGTTTGTTTTTTTCAGTAAATTCTAATTCTGTTTTGAAAGCTGTTATCTGTAAATGGTTATTGAAAATTCACTATCTCAACTGTAATTGTGTTCACAACATTTTTGCTAATACCTTAAGTATGATTTAAAAATACTATCTTTTCCCCTTCTTTAGGTATGACTGATGGCAAGCATTGTACTTTTCCACATCTACCTGGCAAAACCTTTGTCTATAATGCTTCTGAAGATAGACTGGAGTTGTGTGTGGATGCTGCAGGACATTTCCCCATCGGTCCTGATGTTGAAGATTTAGTTAAAGAGGCTGTAAGTCAGGTTCGAGCAGAGGCTACTACAAGAAGTAGGGAATCAAGTCCCTCACATGGGCTACTAAAATTAGGTAGTGGTGGTGTAGTGAAAAAGAAATCTGAGCAACTTCATAATGTAACTGCCTTTCAGGGAAAAGGGCATTCCCTAGGAACTGCATCTAGTAACCCACACCTTGATCCAAGAGCTAGGGAAACTCCAGTTATAAGAAAGCATAATACAGGGACAGACTTTAGTAATAGTTCCACTAAGACAGAGCCTTCTGTATTCACAGCTGCTCCTAGTAACAGCGAGCTTATTCGAATAGCTCCTGGAGTAGTAACAATGAGAGACAGCAGGCAGCTTGATCCTGATTTGGTGGAGGCCCAGCGAAAAAAATTGCAGGAAATGGTTTCTTCTATTCAGGCTTCAATGGACAAGCACTTGCGGGATCAAAGTACAGAGCAGTCACTGTCTGATCTTCCTCAAAGAAAAGTAGAAGTTGTGAGTTCTGCTGCAAAGTCTGGGACTCTTCAGACTGGCTTGCCTGAATCTTTTTCTTTAACTGATGGCACTGAAAATTTGAATACAGAAACAACTGACAGCAGTGTGGCAGATACATTGGGAGCAGCCTTTGTCACAAGGTCAAAAGCACAAAAGGGAAATTCCGTGGAGGAGCTTGAAGAGATGGATAGTCAAGATGCTGAGATGACTAACACAACTGAGCCAATGGATCATTCTTGATTTAATTAGAGGCTAATAAGGGCAGAATGTTTATTGTGAATATGTAATATTTGTTGGCTGGGCCACATAACTTTGATTAGCCATTAAAAATCTTGTATGTATATTTCAAAGATTATATCTTGTTATTCAGTGCATGATAGCAAGTGTGTGATTGGCAATAGCTTTTAATATACTGCTGCCCAGACTGGCTCTGAATTACCTATAAATTAGTTATTAGATCTGCTCAGATGAGCTTCTTCCATATATGTGGTTCATTGGATGTTCTTTGTAATTTTAATTCCATGAAAGTCTTAATGTTTCAAACATGAAAATTCTCTTTGTTAAGTATGTTTGTTATCTGAAAGGCTAGAACTGGGGGGAAAATGAGATTTTGCAAATGTTGATGTCATCAAGGTAAACATCCCACATATTTATTAGACTGTAAAAAAAATATATGTAAATTTGAAGGTTATTGAACTAAATTGTATCCTAACATTTATAAAATGATTTATTAGATTCTCTGACATTTCTGTGAACATAAACACATTCATAGAGATATGTATTCTTGAGGAAAATATCTTGAGAATAGAGTGTAAAGATAAATATTTTGCTGATTTGAGCAAGGGTAGGGAGAAGAAGCCTATTCTAGAATGATAAAGTCAATGTGATTCAGTTATGTTGCTGTCTGAGCCAACACAACTAGTTGTGTGCTCTGTTGTTGATAATTCGTTACCATTGTAATTTGAATCCTGACTTGGTCAAGTACCACCTAATTTTTATTTTTAATCTTGCAGAAAAGTTGATTGCAAAGTGTGGTAGAAAATACAAAAATAATGGTAGCAGTAGTTAATGATCTCTAATTTTCGGAGTTTGTCAGATTCACAGAGAATTTATAAATAAGAATTTATCTTTATGAATGAGTTACACTGATCTACAATTTTGATCAATGGTGTTCAAGCTTGAATATGCTAAGTGTCTTTGAGCCCCTTTGAACCAAAAATGTTTCCTTTCTTTCTAAGAGTCCTTAAGATTTTATTTATTAGCTTCACTTGGAGTTGGAATGCAGATTTTGCTGCATCATACCCTGATCAACATGGCATTTGCTTAAATAGTGTATTCATCAAATCTTCTGTGCCGCCTTCCTTGAAAAGCAGCTCTCATGCTTATTCCTTAAAGACAAAGAATGTTTATACTGAAATTGGTATTGCACTATTTTATCCTGTTCTATAAATCTGTATTCTGAAATATACATTTCAATCCATCTTTTTCCTCTGTTCACCCAATTAAGTTGAATTTGAATGGATGAAAGGCAAAATGTATGTTAATACAGTCTCTTACCTAGAGCGTTCAAAGCCTGGTTGTCTCTGTTTGCACATGTAACAGATGCAAAACGGTATTTGCATCCTGAGAAAATGTACATCAGAAAGTATATTATCAGGTATTTAAAAATCTCTACCTGTTGATTCATAAGACATATGGACAGTGCTTTAACTTGTGTTTCCAAATAAGGGAGGTTTTGGTCTTCTTTCTATGAAAGTATCTCTAATTGAATCCACTTATTAAATGAACTACTCCATTTTGATTAAGGAAAGAATAGAGAGTCTAGACATTTTGCAAGTGATATTTGAGCAAGACATATATTTGGGCTAATTTTATCATCTGCTTTTCTTTAAATACCATGTTGCATCTTCATTCTTCCACTTCTAAATTTACTTTCAAGCACTTTCTCTATATCAAAATAGCAGGAAAACTTAGAACTTTTATATTGTGCACTAGTGTTGCATAAAGTAAGAGATACAGCTACTGAATAATATTTCCCACTTAGGTAGTAGAGGTGGTTTCTGTGTGTATTATGCTAAAAATTATAAATGTCACTAACCACTATAATTATTTGTCACGTTTTCAGCCACAGAAACAAAGCTTTAATTTTTTTTTTTCTTTTTGGTTTAAATGCAGGCATACTGTATAACAAGCTAATGCACTGCTTCCAGGTAAATGATAATCACTTTTTCTTTAACAAATATTTTCTTTACCTGTGACTTGATATATTTAGTTAATAACTGATATGTATAGTCTCATAGCATAAAGTAAAAAATCAGAAATGAATCTTAATCTCCCTCCCTATTATATTAAATACTTGCATTTAGTGTAAATGTTAGAAGATGGGCTTCATCTCTGACAACGCTTGAGTAATTTCTCTTGCCACAGCAATACCATTTAGAAGCCAGTTAGTTACTAATATTATTATAACAACTTGAGTTCCCCCTTGATAAAGAATAAAAGGCTTCATTCTAAGAAATGATCATATTCCTTGAAATTATTTTAAATCAGCTGAAATTTTTGAGAAGTGGGCCCGGTATCATCTTTACAAAGAAATTTTAGAACAGTATTTCTTTAAATTTTAAATATCATCTTTTGTTCTTCCATATTGTTACTATAATCTAACACTTTTTATTTATAGAGTGACTTTTTTAGTAATAAATTACCATTTATTATGTCATCACACCTTTGAATCCAAACTAGAGATCTTAAAACTGTTCAAATATTTTTATCCCTAGAAGTAACATCATCTCTATAATTTAGTCCTATAGTTAAATATTATTTACTGGGTTGCACTGAAAATTGAAATAAAATTGTAATTTTTTTCTTTAGTAATCCATTTCATAACTAATCATACCAAGTTTGAGTTGAGCCAAAATCCAGGTATAATTGAAGAGAGTATTTGTCTAGAATATTAGTAATGTGAAACTAGTTGAAACTGAAGAAAACAAGACACTGCCAAATATGAGATAACATATGATTAACTTGAGAGGAATGCTTATATGGTTATTCGGGAACTAGTTAAAGAGCGAGCCTAAAGCCCATTCCCCACTTCCTCCTTTCACTATGTTTCAGGTATTTTATTGGAAAATACTAGAATGGAGACCTGAAAAATTTAGCAAATGATTTTGGCTTTGAAATTTGCTTTATATCTTCTGATGATTTTTAGTTTAGTTTTTATAATCAAGCCTACTGCTTGCAATTAAGATACCAATCTTAAATGCATCTGTGATTCCCAGGCACTGATTTTAAGTATCCATCTTAATTGGAGAAGAGCAGTGATTTTTGCATATGGTCTTTTACCTCAGGGAAGATCACTTACTTGCAACTCGTTAGTCATAATGAGTCAAAGCCATTGACAGGTTTTTGAGAAGTACTGACTGACATATCACATGCTAGCTACTAAATGTAAAATTTGTAACAGTATTATTTTATGTAGTTATTTACTAATACTGGCTGTTAGGGAAAATTTCTCTAAAAATTTCAACCTTTCTAATAACTAACCTTTAGGTATTAATGAAATAAACTTGTATAAAGTAGTTTCTGTCATTAGTTACTCTTCAGCTGGTCAATATGTTGACAATATAAACATTTATTTCAAAATATGGATATAGTTTTGTCTTTATTTTTCAACAGTAATTTTAATTGGCCCATTCTTCAGATCAGATTTTGAGATTTTCATGGATGTCAAAGCAAGGTTTCTATTTTAAGATTCTCATTTAAGCCTTTGCAAAATTGGATTAAACTCTGCTCATCTTAATATGAATTTTAAATGACCTTTTATAACATTAGTTAGTGAGATACATACTTCATGTGAGATAGGTAATTATATCCTACATTTCAAGGTTCTCATATAATTTAACAAAATTAAATGACCTCAAGACTGTTCACAATTAATTATATAAGCAATTAAATTTTCAAACCAGAACTATTCATTTATAAACATATAATAGTAGAATATATACTAAGGAAATAAAATAACAAAGGGGAGCTGTATCACCAATGTAAGATTTATAGGGATAATTACAAGTTCTGCCATTCTTAATAATTCTTTGAGATGCTATGTGTTTCAATTTATATTTAATGATACTTAAATCGTGGGAATTTTAACGTTCCAAAATAGCAAAAATTATAAAAATTGTGAATTATTGAAGAAAATGCCATTACTTGTATATCTGACATTTGGTTTTTTTAAATTATGGAGTCTACATGCTTTTGTAGTATATTAACATGATGATTATCTTCTTGTAAAAGAAAAGGAAAAACTAGTAAAAGAAAAGTTTTAGTTGATGTTATCTGCTTGTGAGTATCAATTACTTAGTATTTTAAATTTTAAAATATTGCATACTTCAATTTAGAATGCAGAGGTCCCTTCCTGAGCTTTTATGCTTGTGGTAGAGCAATAAAAGACTGAAAAAGTTATCAATATTTTCAGGTTTATTTGCCTTTAAGAATTAGTGCCAAGAACTGAAAAACATATTTTTTTGGAGGGAAATAACATTCAGAATATGTAAAATAAGTGGTAATAGTGTAAATATTTAGGAAAAAAAATAGCAAGTGCTTTAACTGCTCAATAAAAATGAAATAGCGTAGATGTTCTATCATCTCTGAGGCGCTGGCTGTTACCCCATTTTCTGGTTTGTGATTTCTGTATATATTATGTTTGGATGATAAATCATAGGTAATAGTGTATAGGGTTCTACAGCACACCTCACTGTACAGTATTTGAAATTTTATATCAATAATAAAATAATAAGTTAATACATACTGATTTCCCCCAACTTTTCTATATTAGCTTTTCAAGGTAATTTTTGTTATTCTTTAGTTTCCCTGGAATTATACCTTAATACTATAATGCATGAAAATACGGTTCCGTTTTATAAAGGTCTTCTAACTATAATAAGAATTTTTCACAATTTCCATAAGTGGGATATCATACAAGGATAGTAATATTTGCACTTAATACAGATTTCAATGGTAGATGAAATGAAGAAAAGAGTAAACTAAATTTCTTTTGACATTAACTTATTTGGGTCATGTGATGCTTACTGAATATTTAAAAACAAATGGAAAAAAAGCATGTTCTAATAAAGAGAGAACTTGGTTTTGTGCTAATTTTTAAAAATTACTGGTTAGAAACAATGAGGAAAATATAGAAAGTAGTGCTGAATCACATTAGTACAGCTTAGCAATCAAAACTTATGTTTACTTTTGTGATTTAGTATACATGCTTAATTTTTA